GGCTGAAAGGGCGAGCATGTTTGGTGGGACGGGGATGCGAACCCGCGACCCGCAGATTGCGAGTCGAGCGTCTTAACCACCTGGCCATGCCGGGCCTGTTCGGTGTGACGGGAATTCGAACCCAACCAACAGGTTAACAACTAATATAATGGTTATTTGCTTTTCACTGTCGGCCCTGTATGTGCGGGATAAGCTAATGGCGAGAGTAATCGTTCCGAGTATTTCTCCGAATAAAAATACACGCTCAGTTTTTTTTTTAAATGTATGATTAGAATCGAAATGTAGGTAATAAATAATAATATAAATTCATTTTGGATGTTGATTTTGATGATCGAAATTTCGATTAATCTGCCCTCTACACTACAATAAGAAGTAGGATCTGCAAAAAAAAAACAAAAAAAACGAACCATAGCCTAACACTGGATACGAAAGACAGCGTCCAAGGTTTTTTTTTTTTTTAAACACTCCTAATATTAAAAAATGTTAGTTTACAAAGATTATTGGAGTTCTGGATGTAAAGTCACATCTTGTACGAGAGGATTTAAATTAAAGTCGAAATATACAAGTTTTACTTCGTTCAACAATCTCACCTGTTGAGCTAGACCAAGAATGATCATCATCATAAAAAAACAGATGGCCCAAAAAGAAGAGATCGTTGTTACGCCACCTAGCGCTAGAGCGGCTGGGAATATTTCTGTGGCAAATCGAAGCACCTGGTATCCACTGGAAGTCGTTTGAGAAAAGGTGGAGTAAAGACATTCTCCAATCACCAGGTTGACTGGGGTAATGTTCATTACGTCCGAGTTGTACTTTGACAGTGGTTGTAAGAACTGAACGGTTTCGGGGTTTTCTGAAATATGAGAAATCAACGGATTTGTTCAAACTCAAGATAATTGTTACTACATAACGCAAGTCTTACCTCACCAGTATACAAAGTTATTTCATTGTTACTACATAACGCAAGTCTTACCTCACCAGCATCCATGACTATTTCATTGTTACTACATAATTTTATTCAGTATACAAAGTTATTTCATTGTTAATTCACGATTCTAAAAAAGAATAAACGTAACGAAGCACGTCTATTATTACAAACCACGTAGAATTACCATTAATATCGTACTGAGACTCTTGAATTGAAATTTACATATTTACATACAACTACGGTGTAAACGCTTTTATTTCTTACCATAGGACGAAGGAACATGGGTTAAATTATTTTCTTTCAGAGCCTGCGCAGCACTTGCAAAGAACAGTGATACAAATATCAAAGTAAAAGTTACTCCGACACCAACCGCCAGGAGGTTTCTGAAAAACAATTTTTTTTTATTAATTCCATCTAATTACGTTTCCATAATTCGTTTATTATTTTTATTCTAGATTTGTCGTACTGGGAATTGTGGGTAAGTTTCCAAATAAGTTTGGAATAACTATTTATAGAAATAATTAATATCTAAAATATGCAAGTTTTATAAAGAAACTGATAACGTTAAGTTTTTGTCTAGTTAAATGGTATATCTAACCTAATATTAACCAGACATACTATGAAAGAAGGTAATACATGTATATAAAATCAGTGGTAAGAAGTAATATTACACGAATTTGTAAAATTCTTTGTTGTTAAGCGCAAAGCTGCGAAATGGGCTACACGTGCTATACTTACTGCAGGTATCAAAACCTTATTTTATATGTATATACACTCACACACATTTAAGTAAGTCTCGAGTTGCCAATGTTCAAAACAACTTTAGACTATAATGCTACAAAATTACGGTTTTAACAGCGAAAGATGGCGAAAAATTAGATACCAATAGGCTTAATACACGTGAGAAAAAAAAAAATCATGTGGACTACAGATTTATATATATATTTTACACACAGAATTACACGTCAAAATATACATCAGATGATATGTTAAATAGTATTTTGTACAACTGTGATTTGCATTCCAGGAAGAGGGGGTTGGCAGACAATTCTTGGTCCACGTGATTTTTTAATCATAAATGTTAGGCCTATTGGTCTGGTGATATATAAATAGTATTTCAGATAAACGTTTATAGGCCTATTGGTCTGGTGATATATAAATAGTATTTCAGATAAACGTTTATAGGCCTATTGGTCTGGTGATATATAAATAGTAATTCAGATAAACGTTTATCTCTCCTCGATCAGTTCAGCTAGGTGGTTCTGGTATTCTGAAGTTTACAAGATTCTTAATCTAAACGTTAAGTTAATAATATTCATACTTACTTCATGACGTTGGAGGTAAACTTGTTGTGACTACACATCTGAAGACAGAGGGCGCCGTACAAGATCCACGTTAAAAATACCTCCCTGGCCGCCAGCAGCCAAGACTGGAAGAAAAAAAAAAAGAATAGTTAATCTTTATGGAATTTTATTTATGATTAACAGTAAGTTAGAAAGTATTTCCATTCAGATCCCTTTACAATAGATTTGCAAGTAAGGCCTAACGAAAAACCTTGACAACGTAAGAGGCATTTAGTACTTTATAACAACAGTGATTGGGAAGTCGATTTTAATAATTTAGAAATTTTTTTCCTTAAGGTTTTCGGTTCATTTACTTATCACTTCTTATTTATAAAAGATAATAATATAATATCTTGTTGCGCATATCGGATATGACGTCAACCGTGTACCTTTATTGCTAACAGAAAAACATCGGATATGACGTCAATCTTTATTGTTCACAGTAAAACAACAATACGAAACTAACTTGTGAAAAGCCATACATACCGTGGAATCCGTAAGTACATCTTTCCATTGAGCATCAAAAAGGGTCGCTATCCCCATTCCCCACTGTTCCATAATTCTAACAGCTACCAGAAACAACAAACTTACTGGTACGAGTACAAACGCATAGACTAACTGGAAAACAATAAAAATGTTGTGCATCAAGACCCATACATTTTTTTTCTCAATTAACGTTTAACATTAATAAGTTAAAACGCCATTACATACTTTTTGTTAAGTCTTTAGTAAAGTATATCAAATTTTAGACATAAGATAAACTGATTTCTACCTCAGAAGGCTTAGAGGTATCGATAGCAGTAAAAACTTGTATAATTATCCGAGTCTTTAGAACCCAACTTAATTCAATACTATCTCTGGGATATTGGATACGTTGAATCGCCTTTTTTTGTGTTTTAAAAGATGGTTATTTCAAAACAAAATAAATATATTTCCATCTCTAAACCAAAAGAGCGCCATCTATTGGTTGATAAAACAGTGAATTAATGTTTGATTATTCTGCTTGTTTTGCTGCTGGGCGCAAAGATGCACAATAGGCAACTATGTTGTGCCCATCGCACGGATCGTGCCCCGAATTTAACTTTTATTAGCCATCAATTTTACCGCTGAGCTACCAGAGGGCTTATAAGGTTATCAAAAATGTTTAATTGTACCGTTATATTATTTATTTATACAACAAAACGCAAAACTTGAGAAAAGAATGATCACGTGTTTATTTATAGCACCCGTTTTTGGATTAACTGTAACCCTCGCTAAATATTGTTTGTTGGAGGTCCACTGATTTACGGAGGTGGGGGGGGGGGGAAGCAGGAGCAAAATGAAAACAAGGGTCCATTTCGACAGCTGTCTGACACACACCCATACACACACACCACAAGTTCGTATTTTATTATAAGTCAATCAGAATTAACAAACAGTCGAGGAAATTGATAAACATTTCCATAAACAAAGCCAAATATGACATACTCTCGGTCCCAACGTCCACTGGACTTTGGGGGGGAACTTCAAGAAATACATGACACTCATCCGTATATTATTAATACCGTTGAAATTAAGTTTCAGAAAAAAAATTTTTTTTTGTCTA